CTCCTCTCTTCTCTCCCCTCTCTTCTTTCCTCTCTCCCATCTCTTCTCCTCTCCAGTCTGCGTTTCGCGACCAGGACCCCCCCGATCCCTGTGACTGTTGACACTGTTGAGACGCGAAGATCCGACACGAGCCCAAAAGTGACGACAGTTCTGCGTTTCGCGACGATTTTCGGCCGCGGACGCTTGCGAACGCTTGCGGACGCTCCGCATGGATTTCGCGTCAACTCCCTACCCCCAGACCTCCAACCTCAAAAACGAGAACCCTTCTGCTGCGCATTCGGGAAAAAGGCGCAGAGAGAGGAGTGAGCTTCCGGCACATAGTCAGTGCCACCGTGATCCGCTGTGTGGGGTCCGGTCCACGCCTTTTCGCAGGAACTGCTGCCCAATCGAGTGTGCCTTACAGCTTTGCCTTGCTGTCGCCTTGAGTGTTCAGTGCCCGAACGTTCAACCCTTTTGCATCCAACCTGGCAGAACTCTACACGTTTACTTTTGACTTCTGCACCTTACTTAAGCAGGTACTCTGACACTGGAAGCCTGCCGCTTCGGACACGATAACCTCATAGCATGAGGCAGGCGGGCCTCAAATTGCCGTGATTGTTCAATTGGTAGTTCCAAGACACTATAGGGACTTTAATGGAAGGCTCAACTAAATCTAGAGATATGCGAGGACTACCTCAGTCTCGGAGCTCGCAGCAATGAATTCTGGGCTTAGCCTTTCAGCGCTAGACTCACGCCATGCTATATATGGCTTATATGGCTTACGTAGCAGTATTTGGTATATTTCGGCAATCCGGAAATTGCCTAATGTCGACACCCGAATCAATAGCCCCCATCAATGGAGGCGATAGTTGGAGCGCTGGTATTCAGATTCTCGAACAACCAGGGTCTAGTAGTCAGGGTCTACATGGCCCACGAGAAAAACAAAACCCCCACACCCCATGCAGTCCTGCTGACTCAAGATAGAGCTGAACTTTAGCTAAAACCCTCAAAAGTGTCCTTAAACCGCCCATGGCATCGCGAACTTGCTCCAAGGTCTGGAAGGCCAAGGGCGACTCGCAGCCTCCAAAATCTGGCTTATACGCGTGCTGAAGAAGGCATAATACGCTGTTCGAGGTCTAGGCAAGTAAGTTGGACCTCAGTGGAAGTGGATCCACAATTGCGCAAGGCTACATGCGACTTTCTCGCGGATATAGAGGGTTCAGGTGTCCGAGTACTATGGCAAGACACAAAGGTAAAAGGGATGTGAGGTTGGAGATCAGCGATGGCGGTTCTGGGCTGGGAGATTGGGGCTGAAGTGTACGAATCAGGGGTTTGTTCGGCAGAAGTAGAGCAAGCGAAAGGTGCACATGTCTCTGCTCGAAACGGACGTCGGCTGAGGAGATGTAGGAAGCAAACGTTTGAACGTGGAGTCATTGCAGTGTGCTCTGCGCTTGGTTGATGTCCCTCCTTGAAAAGCAACGCCCACTGCTCCTCAACATAACTCCCTGTATATCGGGCTGTTTCCAAATTTCCCCGGAATCCCAACATCTAAACCCTCAACCGTGTCCTTTTTTGATCCGTGGGAGGTGCCGAATGATCCCGTTTTCCTACCCTTATATCCCTCCGTCTAAATTGCAAAGCGAATAATCCCCAAACCCTTTTCCGAATTCCGAGAGCCTCTAATCTTTGAGGCCCACCCCTTGATCCCCAAACCCCAAACCAAGTCTCTGGGGGCTAGCCTTCCTGCTGAAGGAAAGTCACGAAGGCTTCTCCGTCGTCCAAATGGGAGGCCAGTTCGCCTTGGGCTCTCGTAGGATTTGAATGCTTTAAGACCTTTGGGGGTATTAAAGGGTGAGGGATTTAGGGCTTTCACACTTGCACGCCACGCAGATGTTTTGCGTTTTGAGGGAGCCCCACACCAAGGAAAACCTTGAGCTTGATTGGAAAGCCTGAGCTAGTATAGACTGGATGCCTCATTGTGGGGTTCTCCTCTTGATGCGAGAATTTTCTTACATGGATTCCGGGTCTCTCTCCTTGCACCCCAGAGGCTGGTCTCATTATGGAAAAAAAGATATTGCAGTATGAGCTCAAGCCCCTAACCCCTAGATCCTGCACCCTAACCCCAAATCCATAAAATTTCCCTGAGCCCTAACCTGAAGCAGAACAGGTACCCATCAGATTCGTACACAGTCTCCAGGTCTTCTTGAGTGATCTGGCGAAGCAGCTTCAAGCAAGTTGAATTGATAAAGCTGACAGGGCGGCAGGTGACGTCTTGACGCCATGGGGTTGAATTACAGCCTGGGGGCCCAGGATATTGGATATTAGAATGGCATTTCCGAGGATGTGTGGACTTATGCTTGTGTGCTTGGATTGCGAATTAAGGCTGATGGTTTCAGGCCCCGCTTTAGGTTCCGGCCTTCAGGTGTAGGGATTGGGCTTCGACGCCACGCTTTTCAGGGATGAGGGTGTAGACTTCAACAGTTTGTGGCGATGGTTCGACGAGCTTCATCATATGTGTTCAAATCGCTGCCAAGGCAAGTTTTCAGAGAATCTGATGTGTCTGGGGAACATAGGAGTGGCATAAAGTGCACCCAAGCCCAACTCCTACAAGAGACCATCTGTACCACAAGTAGCGTGCTTCTACTTTGGGTTCTCATGTTTCTCTGAGGCGTACCAGTAAGTAGCTTAGAACTAGACTTTAGGACGGAGCAGAAGTGTGGCAGCTTTTCAGACTGCATGCTATCGAATGTCTGCAGCTGCCAGAGCATCGTGCGGGGGTCTAGGGTACCACAGTACCCTGTTGCAAACTGCCCACCTCTTATGGGCTTCTACTCCTCACACGCCAGACCCAACAGAAAGGACTCACGGTTCATGCCGAGGTTCTGGCCACTTCAGACTGGGAAGTCGACCACGACTCTGCCAAAATAGCTGGTTGCTGGATATTCCAGGAGGAGTGGTGCTCAGCATGACTGCTGCGTCTATAGAGTCTATGCGGCTAAAACATTAAAACTCAGACTCACCCAAATCAAACAAATGCCGCTCACTGACTCTGACCTGTCACCACCCTCGCGCCTAAACCTTGCCAACCTAAACCTTGCCAAACCCTGATCCTCTTGAATCCCCATGGAGAGCCTGTGAGACTGATCCGTGACGGCCATGGTCTGCTTGTAAATAGAGATCAGGCTGCCAAAGTCCATGGAGCCTCAAGGCACAGGGTCTGGGAGATTGGGGTTTCAAGGGTTTAGGTGGAAGGAGCTTTTGTGTTCAGAGGTTGGGGCAGCAAGGGAACTAGAATCAGAAGCTTCTAGGGATCATTCTCTAGGGATCATGTTTTGATTGTTCCTCCGGCATGAGAATGCAAGGCGCCAGCGAAACCCCAAATCAAACACACCTTGGCTCCTGTTGTTGTGCCAACTAGAAGCTTTATTCTAAACCTAAACCTTCAAATCTTAACCCGCCGCAAGAATAAACCCTAACTCTGCTTGCAATCCCTGAACTGAATGATCCTTGCACACGTTACTTGAGATGCACACCACGCCTTTGTAACGCCATAACGCCCGTAAGAAATGTGGCCCTTCCATAGAAACGGCCTACGTGGTGTAGGCCGCTGTATGAGGCAACTTCCTTGAATACCTTTCACAGCTTGGCGAGAAGCATCAAACCGAGATCTGAACTTGAAGTTCTAAGCACTTATGTCCAATTTCTGGCATCCCGGTTGCATTGCTCATATCGGGCCAGGGCTTGGGTTCCGGACTCGTAACCTTGGAGCGCGTGTTGAGGGTTGCTGGAGCTGGGGGATTCGAGTCTGCGGTTCAAAGCGATTTAGGGTTTGTGATTTGGAGCCCTGGATTCGTGGTTTAGGATCTGGAGTTTCCAGCTGTCTTTTGTTTTTCAAGCAATTTTTCACAAACTCTCAAAACGAAAGATCGTTCATGGGGAGTTGCTGCCACTGTGAGAAACAAACACAAAGGGACGGGACGAGAGGGCGAGAGAGACGCATCTTGACCTTGACCCTGACTCTGTGCGTCGATTATGCTACCCTGAGCACAGCCTGGTAGGTGCATGACCATGTCACAATGGACGTGACTGATGATCATGCAGTGTCCAGACAAACAGACCAGATAGACAAATGGACAGACTGATGTCCGTCCAAGGATGAAAGTCTTCTCAAGTCTGGGGTTGCAGGCTTGGCATTGACGTTAAGGAT